GGCTTTAGGTGCTCAGGTTGTGTGGAGGAGGTGAGCTTGGAATGGCCGGTTGCACCCAGGGTCATTGAGGCTTGGAACACAAAATAGGGGTCCAGCGAGTGTCTACGGAACCAGACAGGTGTGCCTGACTTGCCTGTGGCAGGGAACTCATGAGGACTCCTGACCCGGGGAGCTGCCGGCAGACACTGCTGGGGGATCCTCTCTTTGAAGCCTTGGGGGGCTCTCAAGGCTATGCTGTCGCGGTTGTCCATTCAGGAGGGGTGCTGGGTGGGAGGCTGGGTTGGGAGCAGTCGCTTGGACTGCAACTTCCTATCTAGGCTGCTCCGGGTTAGAAAAGCTACCAGTGAGGAAAGATAGCCTGGAGTCTCGGGGTTGGAAGGGACCTGTAGCTTGTTGGCCACTCAGAACCCCTTTATAATGTCTCTGTTAAGAGGCTACCCAGCCCCCGATTGCATGCTTTCATTGGCAGAGAGCTCACTACCTTCCATCTCTGAAGACTGCCTGTTAGAAATTGTTTCTCCTACTAAGCAGAAGTCCCAGGATCCACCCCTGGGACCCAGTGAGTCCTGCCTGACCTTCTAGACTAGGTCACTGGCACTTACATGAAGAGAGTGATTCCTAATGTCCTCCCTCCAGGCCCCAAGGATGCAGTGCGACCCTCATCGCACCTCCCCTGGCCCGTCTCCCCCGACTGCGTGCGTTCATCTCTAGGCGTCTAGGGTGTAGCCAGAAGTTCCACACTCCTGCCTGTCCAGCGCAGGAGAGAGAGAGGCCATTCCTCACCTTGTTCTGGATGCTCCTTCAGATTGGGGGGCCTTGTCTCTGCGTCCCTTGGTCATTTAGGTGTCCCTGGGGCCTAGCATAGAGCCTGACACCGAGGCTGCCGTGGATATTCAGGGGGCACAGAGGTATTCTGTTGCTCTGGGGCCCCTCCAGGGACCAGAACTGAAACCGGGGTCAGAAGGGTAGTCAGACAACAAGGCTGCGAGATGAGAACCTGACCTCATCTTTTCCTTCCCTGTGTCCAGGGCCAGCATATCTTTGTGTCTGTTCCTGGGGTGGGTTGAGTTGTCCGTTTTAAACACCCTTGCCGGGGTGCTGGGGGTGGCTCTGTAGTTTTACGAGAAAGGATGGGTTTATCCAGATGGGTCCTGGTGTGGGCAGGTCCAGTCATCTTGGAGAGATTCTGTCTCGTCTCCCTTCTCTGAGAATGCGTTATTGACTCACTAATGACCCTCAAAAGGAAACCGTCAGCAGATGGGTATTTCACAGACTGGCTGGCCCCAGAGCACTGCTAAAAGGTCAAGAATCTTGAGCTGAAGGATGGATGACATTTGACAATTCCGACCAGTTGAACGGAACTTGACCATGTAATTCACAAGGGGACTCAGGCAAGGCTGTGAGCTCAGGCGCCGGGCTCTTCTGAGTGGGTTGCTGGATGGCGTAGCTTGGGAGGGCGGCTCCACGTGGAGGGGGCAGAACTCCAGCCCCTGTGGGTTTTCTGGAGGGCTTTGTCTTTGGGGACTGGAAGTCTGATCACCTTGGGGAAGGTACAGCTTCCCACCCTGGGAGAGGGTAAACTTGGGCACAGACTGAGTGTAGGCGGAGCCACCGGTCCCGCCTCTCCAAGCCGCGCCTGGAGCAGTGGCCCTTGCCACCTGGAGCCGTGGCCCGTGTCCATCCATTTATTCCTTCCATGTTCATTGTGTGGGAGTGCGAGGCCTCTGGTGGTCGTTGAGGGTGGGCCTCAGTTTCTCCCTGCAAGGAGTTTACAGTCTCAGAAGAACAACAGGCAACACGCCGTGGACTGCTCAGTGAGCGAAGGCTTGTGTAGGGCACCCTACTCCCCGCTGGGCCGTCCTCACAGCCGCCCCAGAAGGAAGGAGCGCTTGGGATCCTCAGCTTGCAGGTGAGGAAACCGAGGCACAGAGTACTCCTCGCCCAAGGCCACACAGCTCCTAAGTGGCAGAACCACGACCCACACCCAAGCAGCCAGGCTCCCGGGCCCACGGCTTTCCTGCTGCTTCAAGCTGTGTCTTGCGCTGGAAGGATCCAGTCGATGAGCAGAGAGACCACTGTGTGTGACGTGGGCATGGTCACAGGGCAGAGGAGGCCACCAAGGAGGAGGTGGCATCTCAGCTGGGTCTGCCTGTGGGAGAAAGCAGAGGGACCAGGATGTGTGACCGCGGGGAAGCGGGAGAGGTCATGGCACGTCCCCAGAACTCCAGCAGCAGCTTTATGTGTATTCCGCTTACTGTGGCTGTGTAAATAACTGTCCCCAAACGGACGGGTGTGAAACAGCCATTCACTTACTTGTTCATGGACAGGGCAGGTCGGGAACTTGGACAGGGCGTTGGGGAGGACGCTGTGTCCCTGCCCTACGGCGAAGACCCAGGCTGGAGAGGAATCTCCCAAGGTCCGATGCGCTTGAGTGCCTGGCAGCTGAGGGCAGTGCCTGCTGGGGGCCTCCCCCCTCTGCCCTCGCAAGCCTCTCGCGTGGGCTCCGCGCGAGGGCCAACCTGGGCTTCCTTGCCTGGTGACCAGCTCCAAGGGCAGGCCTTTCAGGAGCAAGAACCAGAGAAAAGCCCACGTGCCCATCAGCGGATGAGCGGATAAAACAAACTGTGGGACATTTACACAATGGAATTCTACTCGGCCGTAAAAAAGAAGAAAATTTTACCCTTTGCGACAGCAGAGATGGGCCTGGAGAGTATTATGCTAAGTGAAGTAAGCCTGTCAGACAAACACCATATGATTTCACTCATATTGTGGAATCTAATGAGCAGACCAAACTAACAAGCAAAACAGAAACGGACTCCTCGATGGAGAGCAGATGTCAGCTAGTGGGGGTGGGGAGGTGAGGGGGTGGAGGGATTGAGCAGAAAGGGAAAGGACTCGGCCTCGGACAGCCGTGTGGTGATTGCAGGGGGAGAGGGGTGTAAGGGGACAAAGTGGTAATGGAAAAAAATACCATAAAGATTAAATTAAAAGGAAAAAAGAAACCAGAGGAAAGAGACCTTTTCTAACCCCGACGTCAGATGTCGCCAAGCGTCACTTCTGCCGCAGCCAGCCTGGTCCCGCCACGTGCGAGGGCAGGAACGAGACCCCGCTCTCAGGAGGAAGAGAGTCAGCGTCAGAGGGCGTGGCCGCCCTGGAAGCTGCCCAGGCCGCAGCATAAGGGGCTGGCCTGGGGTGGACACAGCCGTTCTGCTGGGCCTCATGTGGTTGCGGACAAAGGTTATTAGCAGGCTGACATCAGACTTGGCTTGCTGTCCCCTCCCCATACCCCAAAGTAGGTGTTGTCATTGGCGAGTGATCTGGAGCCCCGTGGGGATGCGTGCGGTCACCAGACATCCGGAGCTGCTTCCCCACCAGGCAGGCGGTGCGCCGGCTCCTCTGCCCCGTCGGGGTGCTGGCCCCTGAGGAAGGCGGCAGGTGGCAGGGAGGGCGGGGACAGCCCACACTCGGAGAGCGCTGCTGAGTGCCAACCGCTGTCCCAGCCACTTTGCGTATTCACTTCACCCTCACAGCCATCTGTGAAGGTAGCTGCTCCTCTGTCCCCATTTACGGGTGAGGAAACTGAGGCACAGGGAGGCTCACAGCTAACAAATGGCAGACCCACATGGCAAACCCTCTGCTACGTGTCTGTAGAGGGATGATCACAGCTCAGTGTGGTAGGCGCCATAGGTCACGTTTATAGAGACCTGGGCCCCCTGCCCCCTGTAGACCTGAGTCCTTAAACAGGTCAGAGCGATTGCAAATGGCTGAGAGCACCCCAGATGCGCCCCTTCCCAAATCGCCGAAGGCCAGCTCTTGCCTCAGACTGCATGGCCAGGGTTGCACGGGCTCTGGCTGGAGCTGTGTATAGCGTCTGCATGTCAGTGGGGCCAGAAGTCACTGGCCTGGTGGTGCCGATCTGTCCCAGGGTGGGTGGTGTCTGGTGGGAGCGCTGAGGAAAGGCGCCACGGCATTGGGAACAGCCAGTGCGAGAGTGTGGAGGACACACTGACCAACCGAGGGGAAGAGGGGCCGCTGGGGTGGCTGGGAAGGAAGTGGGAGGGCTGGGCAGGGGCCTAGGCACCCGCCGCAACGCCTGAGTGCCAAGCCAAGGGGCTGCCCCGGGGAGCCTGGAAGGTCTTTGCTGCAGAGGATGGCAGGGTCCTGGAAAGGCGCCCTCTCTGACCCCACTTTGACCCTCGCCTTGGCCTTGCTCCTCTCCTGACTCCCACCCCTAGCCCCCCGGCCCCGCTGCCTCGCTCCCGGTGCGTACACCCCTGGGCCGCCCTGCATCAGGGTATCACCTTCACTCTGCTGACCCAGCAGAAATCCTTCGACCGGGAGACGTCACAGTGTGCTGCTATATTTATAACGTAGCATTTACAACATACTTCTTTGCTGGCAGTTGCTGTTGCAAATTTTGTGTCTTTGTGGGGCGGTCCAGCTGCGTCCTGATTCAGAAAGAGCTGACCCAGCTTCTCAAGACATTTGTGCTATATTCTCCATGTTTTGTGCAGACTAAGGTGCACTAAAGGCTGTTGAGCGGATCAAGGTGCTGCTCTCTTCTTCTTGCTTAGAATGTCTCCCGAGATCCCTCTGGAGAATGGTGGTTTCTAACACAAACAGAAAAGTGCATAAGACGAATAAGAAATTATAAAGCCAATACCTAGTTGAACCCCAGAGCAGGCCCACCACCAGCCCCACGAGTCCCCCTCGGGCCTGCCCTGAGCTCCCCTCCGCCCCACACTGTCCCGAGTTTGGGGGTGATCACTTCCTCGCTTTGCTTTACAGAGCGGCAGTGTCTACGCATCCCTGCGCAGCTCCGTTTGTCATCGCCTGGTTTTGATTACAAACGGAATCGTCACTGTGTGGGGTCCCGGGTCCTTGAGGGCTCTGTTGCCGCCTGTGACTGGCTTTTTCACTTTCATTGCTGTCCAGAGTGCTGCCATCTGTTTGCCCTTCCCGGTGATGTGACTGGTTTACTGTGGACACTCTTTTCACAGCCCTGGTCATCTACAATTTCCTGAGCCTGTGTTACGAATACCTCGGGGGAGAAAGTTCCATCATGTCAGAGATCAGAGGGAAGCCCATTGAGTGAGTACAGGCCCCCCAGAAGCCCCCCACACCACCCCGTTTCCTGGGCCTGACACTTCCAGCTGTTCTGGCGGCAGCTGGATGCGCAGACCCCTCTGCCTGTGGCCCCGGTCTGTTGGGCCTCTCTTGAACTTCCTGAGCAAGGCCATGAGTTGGGACTCTTGGGAGGGCCTCCCTGGCTCTTCCCCACCCCACCCCACCCCCCTTCCTGCCTTAGCCTGTTTCTTTCTTCTTGCACTTTTCACACTGGGGACCTCTCGAGTTGGTTCGCTACCCGGGCCCGTCTGCCCTGCTCCCTGGTGTTTTACCACATTCACAGACGCGCTCTGGTGCCTCCCTGTACTTGGCCTCAGGCTTAGGCTGCCTGGGCTCTGCGCCCCATCCCCACCCCACCCGGCCCTGCCCTGGCTTGTCTGGATGTGACGGAGCCCCACCTTCCCCCAGTCCTGGCTCTCTGCTCACTGTCCCCTCTCTGCATGTCTCTTCCAGGTCCAGCTGTGTGTATGGCACATGCTGTCTCTGGGGAAAGACATACTCCATTGGATTCCTGCGGTTCTGCAAGCAGGTATGTATCCCCAGCAACTGCCTGGGTCAGGAGTTGCAGGCCAGGGGCCAGGGGCTTGAGTCTGTGCCCTGGAGCAGCAGCTGTGGGGCTGTGCCGTCCTGGGTGACAGGGCCCGAGGACCTGCTGCAGGCTGCCCTGGGTCCCACCTGTGGAAATCCTGTTTCCTGTGAGGCCCTCCAAGCGCCAGGACCCGCTCCCCAAGCGGTCGGGGGTGCCCCTGCGTTCCCAGGGCGCGCTCAGAGGGGCAGCGGCAGGTGTCCCGGGCAAGTAGGGCTCCCAGGCCCTCGCTCGTTTCAACCCAGCCTCCGGGCGGGAATCAGAGGGGAGAACACAGGGATGCTGGGGTCTCAGTTTGCAAACGTCGCCAGCGGGGCTAGAGGGAAGCCGGGTGTCTGCGTACAGACCGGTGCCCAAACATGCCCGGCCAGTCCCAGTCTCTTCCCCGTCTCCCAGGTGGCAGTCCCGAGTCCAGCAGCTTTCGGCTCCCTAGCCGCCCTCCCTGTGGTCTGGAATTTCCTGGGCGGAGGCCCGTGGTATCGTGGTCAAGCGTGTGGGGCCCAGTGTCTGACCTGAGTTTGATTTCCAGCTTCTCTGACTGACCTCTGAGCTTTAGTTCCTTCTGTAAAATGGGCGTAATGACCTTGTTTCAAGAGATGCTTTAAAAAACAGGCCAGGTGGTGCGTGTAGAGTGGTAACACAGCGCTGGCACAGCGCCCATGGTCTCCTGCTCGGGGAGGGGGAGCCACGTGTCCTGCCTGGCTGGCGTGACATCAGCTCAGTCTCCTCTGGGCTCCACAGAGCCTTGCAGCCCCTCAAGCATCCCCAAGAGTAACGGGGGGACGGGGAATGAGACCCACAGCCGGTCGCTGTGGCCCCCCGGAGGGTTGGCTTTTCTACCAACACTGTGTGGGGCCGCTGCCCCAGCACACCCACACCCACAGGCATCCCCCTGGACTCCCCAGGTCCCCGGTCTGCTTCCACACCTTCCTTCCTGAGGGTCTTTCGAAATGCGGGATCTGCCCCCTGGACCTGCAGGGGAAGAGTTAAAGCTGTCTGGGTTCAGGGTGGGGCCTTTCCGAGCCATTGTTTACCAGTGGGTTTGGCTGCCCAGGGCCCTTGTGACTCACTGCCTTCTTTGGTGATTATATTGTGTACAAAGTTTTGATCCCATGATCACTCGCTTCAGTCGCCTTGTTATGAATTATCCCCAGCCCTGTGGGCTCGGATGTTCCTCTGTTGTTCCTGGAGGTGGCAGGGAGAGGTAGGAACAGGAAGAACAAAAGAAGCCTCTGTACCCGCTCCCGTGCTGGGGAGAGCGCCAGCCGCAGCTTCGTCCCAGGGCACGGAACTGGGCCAGCGCCCAGGCCCGCGTCTCCTGTCACTCTGTCACTTCAGCTCTTCTGTGCCTCAGTCCCTCATCTGCGGCAGGGTGACGGCGGCACTTACCTGATGGGGCTGCTGTCGGCATCAAGTGAGCTGGCCCAGGACAGCACCTGCCTGTGGCCAGGCTCTTAAGTCTGGCTCACGCAGTGCGGTGGCCTCTGTCCCTTGACACGGCAGATGATGGTCCCGCCTCCGAGCCGGGTGTGTGACAGCCACGTTGCACCTCCAGCCCCTGTCACGTGTCACACGCCTCTCCTGGTGGCAGCCCCACCGTGCAGACCACTGGGGCTCCCCCGCAGACCTCGCCCCAAGTCCCAGAACTGTGGGTTCAGCCGGCTATGTTCTCTGCTCCGGGGCCCTTGCCTTATTGGGGGCCACACTAGCGTACGCTTTTCAACTGCGCCCACCGCCACAGAAAGGGCCTTGTTGCTTGGATTTATTTGATTTCAAGAGGAAGGTGGTTCTAGTGATGTTCTGGGCACCGCGGGCACCCGGTTTACTGGGGCCTCTGTAGGGAGCTGAGAAAACCCAGGGAAGGAATTCTTCTGGGGGTCGGGCAGGCTGGCCCTGGCCTTTGAGTGCATGGGGTGGGGGACACACCTCAGGACACCCTGTTGTCTCGTGCTGCAGTCCCCGCACAGTGACCCTGTCACGAGGGGACTGGTTACATCCATCCACCAGAGGCTAAGTGGCCACTCGCTCAAGCTCCCGTAGCCGGTCACTTGCGAGGCCAGAAATCAAGCTCAGATGTCCCAACTGTAGGCCTGGGCGTTGGGCAGCTCCCTGTCCTGTGCGCCTGCACATCCTCTCCATCCCCAGTAGGACCCCAGCCCGAGGCAGATCCTGGACCCAGACCCAGGCCCAGAGCCAGGGGGCGGGGGGCCAGGCCCGGGGAGCAAGGAGGATGAGGGGGGCCCTTACCCATCCCCGCTCCCGCTGTGGCCAGTCCCTTGGGCAGGGCCCTGGCTCAGCCCCCGCCCCGTCTTCCCTGGCGGCCTCACCGCTGCTGCTTGTCACCGGCACGAAACCTTGCCCTTGTCCGCTCTCTGCCTCTGGGCCCCAGTGTGAGTCGCTCCCTCTGCCATTCCGCTTGTCCCTGTCGCGTTCCTCCCGGCTCCCCTCTAGTGGCGCATCCTGTCTCCTGCCCCTCCGTCCCTCCACCCATCATCTGGCCTTCCTTCACGTCCTCGTCTTCTCACGTAGCCGGGCTGCACTGCCATCAACCGGCCTATTCTGCTCTCTCCCCTGGACGGCCGTCCCCTTGGGAGGGGACACGGGGCCTCCCCACCCCCAGCATCCAGGGCAGGCCTCCCTGCCAGAGGAGGTGCTTGTCACATGGTTTCTGTCCGCACCCTTATCTCAGCTTTCTCCCTGCCGCAGGCCACCCTGCAGTTCTGCGTGGTGAAGCCGCTCATGGCTGTCAGCACCGTGGTCCTCCAGGCCTTCGGCAAGTACCGGGACGGTGACTTTGAGTAAGCAGCGGGTCCCCCGGGGGAGTGCGAGGGGGAATGTTGGTTCTGGGGTAGATGGCCCTGCCCAGAGACCCGTGCCCTGGCTGAGGGAAGGGGGTGGCCGCGGACTGGCCACACACGCGCACTCAGGACCTTCCCCTGAGCCAAGGCCAAGGTGGCCCCAGCCCTCCTTGTGCCTCTGTGCATCCCTGAGCTGCGAGGCCCGGGCCTGGCAGTTGGTGGCGCTTGGCCCCGCTTCTGGCACAGGAACCCATCGATCCCTCAGCATCGTCACCTTCACGCGCAGGCCGCCGCGTGGGGCCCTGGGGTGGGCCTGGAAGGACAGTGGCTACCCGTTCCCCACAGTGGGAGCAAGGGGGCCAGAGCCCTGAGAGGCTGCTCTCGGTCCCCGGGTAGAAAGCTTCTCCCGTGAAAACTGTCCGCAGGCATTCGGGGGGTTAGAGAGGGGACCTGGGGGCCGTGGGCTGGCGAGCACTGGGCATGCACCACGTGAACTGCATGCGATGGCCCCCCAGGGCAGGGGAGCAGGCAGGGCTCCGTGGGATGTAACTTGGCTCAAGCGGAAAGAGCAAAGCTGAGCCCCTAGTTGCGCTGACGCCTGTCGTCTGACCGTTGGGCTGAGCTCCCCACCCCTGGCCACACTGGCTGCCGCGCGTGGCCCACAGAGCTGCAGGCAGGCGGCTCAGACGCGCCCGTGAGTGAAGCAGGGGCGCAGGTCTGTCGGATCGCGGCGCACCCCCGGCACCCCCGCCCCCTCACTGCTTGGGGAGCACTGCTGAGAGCCACAGGAGTTGGCATCGGGGCAGGGCACAGGGTGGGGGGCCCTTGTCCCTCAGAAGGGCCTGTCCAAGCCAGAATCCTTCCCCACTTCCGCAGCGTTGCCAGCGGCTACCTGTACGTGACCATCATCTACAACGTCTCCGTCAGCCTGGCCCTCTACGCCCTCTTCCTCTTCTACTTCGCCACGCGGGAGCTGCTCAGCCCCTACAGCCCTGTCCTCAAGTTCTTCATGGTCAAGTCTGTCATCTTTCTCTCCTTCTGGCAAGGTGAGCCTCTTACCAGCCCCTGTGAGGCTGGCGTGTGCCACACTGCCCCCTAAACCTCGTCCCCTTCCCCCTGCTTGCCGTCTCCAGTGCTCCTGGGGCCCAGGCCCTGAGGTCACCCTTGGGTGGTCCCAGCGTGGAGCTCCAACCACTGGGCGCCCACAGCAGGAGAAGCCTCTACCCTCAGGGGCCTTGGTAGGAGCCATGGCGAAGCTTCGGTGGGGCTGCTCATGGATGGGGGGACCAAGAGAACCCTGCATAATCGATGACATCTCGGTGTTGGTGGCCAGAAAGGATCTAGGGGCACGGGGTTTCTCAGTGGCCTTGGCCGTGTCAGCAGCCCCGCCCTGCGGGATCAACTGTGGGCCCTGCTTCCAACCGCCTGGCGTGTGGCTGGTGGGGGCACTGGGGGCTGGGAAGGAGGTCGGCCTGGGCCAGACACGCCCCCCTTCCAGGCATGCTCCTGGCCATCCTGGAGAAGTGTGGGGCCATCCCCAAGATCCACTCGGCCCGGGTATCAGTGGGAGAGGGCACCGTGGCGGCTGGCTACCAGGACTTCATCATCTGCGTGGAGATGTTCTTTGCAGCTCTGGCCCTGCGCCACGCTTTCACCTACAAGGTCTACGCTGACAAGAGGCTGGATGCACAAGGTATGAGCCAGGGTCCTGGCGGTGACCCCCAGCAGGAGGGGTGTGACTAGCCCTGCCCAGGGCCCCGCTGCCCTGGTGTCCTACAGGCACGGAGGGCTCGGGAGTCCCCAGGTGTGTGTAGGTGTGGCCAGGAGGCCAGGCCCACCTTTTACAGCAGGTCTGGGGTTCGGAGACCCAGAGGTGATACGGCCCAGTAACCCTTGGGGAAGGTCAGGGCACAGGTATTAGAATAGTCAGGTTCCTGGCATTGAACATAGTTACCCATTTTATCCTAGAATTCTGTTTCTAAGCTGCTTTTTTTTTTTCCCCAACCTGATTACTTCTCAGAAACAGACTCATGTGGTAATAGCTTTGAACAGCCTTTTTTTTTTCTCTTTGTTTCTTTTTACACCTGTTGCTCTTCCTCTCTGTTAGACCAGAGATAGGAAACTGTAGTTCTACACCAGAGCACCCTGGAGAGTCTTAAAAGCCCCACGTCTGGCCCTCGGAGATTCTACAGTAACTGGTCTGGGCTTGGGCCGGACAGGGTGTGATTGGGGTGGGGGGCAGCCTCTGGCTGCTGCTGGGCAGGGAGGGAGGTCCAGGAGGGGACAGGAAGAGGAGGCTGGGAGTGCCTGAAATGATGGGACGGGGTGGCCTGAGGTGAGGATTGGGGGGTGGGGGTGGGGAAGCCTCCTGGCCTAGTCTGCGCTGGAGCTCGCCTGCCGCAGATCCCTTCCCACACAGCTGGGGGCAGGAACCCCACTTCCCCAGGCCCACCACCGTGCCCACCACAGGCCCCGGGCCGCCTGTACTGAGGACAGTGTAGAGGCACCGGCCTGGCCTGCGGCCGGGCTCCTCAGCCCCCGCCCCCTCACTGCCAGGTCCTTTCCCTGGTTGGGAGGAGGCCTGGGAATGCCTGAGTGGTTGCCGGAGGCACAGCCTGAGCCGTGCCCCAGGCCTCTTGGCTCGAGTTCCCAGCGCAGGCTGGCTGGGGGCTGTAGGAGCTTTTTCCGTATTTGACCGCACACTGCTCAGAGCCAGGAGCCGCTGGCCCCAGCTCACCGCTGCTGGCTGGCGTCCCCCTTGCTTCCCCCGAGGACCCCAGTTGGAAGGATCCAGTGAACACCTTCCCAGTGTTGAGGGACGTCCCTTGGCCATGGTCCTGACAGACCCTGCGCCCTCGGGAAAGTCACCTTTGTGCCGGGGGCCTGTGAAGGTTTCAGATGGTTGAAGGAACCATTTCTGCACGTGGTGGCCCTACCGAGGCTCTCAGGGACGCCCTGGCTGTCTTCTGACCCGCAGCCCCCCAGACACACCACCCCCAGTGGCCTAGCTCTGGCAGGGACCCCACCCAGCCAGGGGAAGCTGCTGCTCACCCTCGCACCCCGCTGTGCCGGTCCTGGCCAGCCGTGCACCCGCTGACCACAGTGCCCAGCCCCTCGCTCTCCAGCCGGGCATGGGCTCAGAGCCGTCTCTGCCCGCTGCGCGACCTGCACAAGAAGCCCCTGTCCCAGCCTCAGTTTCCTGTCTGGGAAGCAGCAAGAGGCCTGCAGAGCACGGAGCACAGGCCTCGTGGCCGCAGCCAAGCCTGCAAGAAGTGGGTGTGGGGGGTCCTGGCTCAGGGCAGGAGGTCGAGCGCGGACGGCCGTCCCGGTGTCCACTGTTTGTGCCCCATCCAGCCACAGAAGGAACCACCTCTAGGTGGGCTGCCTTGGTGTTGGAGGGGCCGAGGGGTGGGGGTGGCGGGGCGTGCGGTGGCGCTGGCCGCGGTGGTGGGCACGTGGCGTTCACTCAGCTGTCTTCTTGTCTTCTCTATTTCTCCTGCTTCCCTCCCCCTCCCCTGCCTGCCCTGCTTTTGCCCCGGGTTTGGCCGCGGGCAGTGCCAACATACGGTCCTTACGGTAGGTTCTGCTCTCAGTCTGCACGCCAGTCCCTCACGCCAGTCCTGGTCACTGTCACCAGCATGCCTCTCTCCCTAGCTGCTTCTCTTAGCTGTATCCCTGTCTCCTTCCCCACGTTTACCTCTGGGTGGCAGAGCCCAGAGCACCTGCCTGCCCAGGGCCGTCCTCTGTAGAGCTTGCCTGCATCTGCCCTGGTCTTTCATTGTCCTGAAATCCGCCCTGTCTGGTTCTGGGGCACAGCACTCATTCATGGGAAGCCAGGGGTGTTTAGCATGTCCCATGGCAGAGGATACGAAGGTGCAAAGAGCAGGCAAGTTCCAGCTTCAAGTTGAGGCTGAAGACCAGGATTCGAGTTGAGCTCATGCGTTGCCGCTCAGTTCTGTGGCCTGGGCCCGTGGGGACCATTTGTTGGGGGCGGGAATTCAGATCAGCACATCAGGGCAGGTGGCTCTCCCCGCCCAGATGGGAGCCAGGGAAGCTGTCTGCTCTGCCGTGGGTCCCCGCCTCTGCAGCGGTCCGGATGGAGCGGGTCCCTGGTCCACTCCCCCAGGAGAGGGGGCAGGGCTGGCACCTGTGGAGCCTGGGCACCCCTGGCTCCTGAGCCCCTTTCCCCAACACCCCCACCTTCAGTGGATGCTGGGCCCGGCCTGCCTCCCTGGAGCCGTCTGGCCTCCTTGCCTGCATCGCCCGGTCTCCACCTCCCACCCTGGCCCACGGGCAGGCTCAGCCCGTGGCTGCGAGCCTCCACTCCCTGCAGGGGCGCTCTGCCCTGTGCCCTAGCCAGAGGAGCCAGTTCTTTGCCTGTGCCCTCTCCCGTCCAGGACCCTGGTCTCTGTCCCAGGACGGGGCGGTTGGATGGCACAACCTTGGGGGTGGGCCCCAGGACTAGGGGTGGGTCCGAGCCACTGCGCCTCCCACCGCGGCAGCCCCTCACCCTCGCCTCCTGCTCCTGCCCTGCAGGCCGCTGCGCCCCCATGAAGAGCATCTCCAGCAGCCTCAAGGAGACCATGAACCCGCACGACATCGTGCAGGACGCCATCCACAATTTCTCGCCTGCCTACCAGCAGTACACGCAGCAGTCCACCCTGGAGCCTGGGCCCGCCTGGCACGGCGGCGCCCACAGCCTCTCACGCTCCCACAGCCTCAGTGGCGCCCGCGACAACGAGAAGACTCTCCTGCTCAGCTCTGACGACGAGTTCTAAGTGTGGCGGCTGCTGCTGGCAGAGGATTGGTACCTTGGCCCAGGGCAGCGTGTGCCCCCTCCAGCCTCACGCCCCGGCCAGGAGGCAGGCTGGCACACCTTTGGCATCGCCCTTTAATTTATTGGACCAGAGACTCTCACATGTCGCTTCCAGAGGAACAGCCAGTTGCCGCCTGCCGAGGGAACACTCGGCTCACCCTCTAGCCTTCAGGAATATCCGTACAAGGCCCGGCTGGCAGGGCCAGGGCCAGGGCCAGGGCCAGGAGCAGAGTATACGGCGAGCGACTCCCCTGCCTCTGCGGCTCTTCCCGCGGTGGCAGCACGGGACCAGCTGTGCCCCAGACCCAGACGCTTGTGTTGTGGACCAGCAACCACAGCCTCCTCGGCTCTGTCCCCAGGCGGTCGCCCTCCCCAGGAGACTTACAGCCCCACCCCCAACACCGTGCAATACAGCTCTTCCCCCCCTGTGCCCTCCCTGTCGCCTTTTGTCTAATGCCAGATTAGCCTCATCTGGGCAGGAGGAGGGGACACCCTGGGAACCCCCTGCTGACCCGGGCCTGCCTGGCATGCTGCAGGGGTCAGAGCCAGGCTCTGAGAGCCACAGGTCCCGCTGGGAAGGGTGCTCAGGTTCCTCTGGGTCCCTCTTCTGGTGATGCAGCCTCTCCCAAGTGGGGGTCCCTGAGCCCCTGGGTGTCTTCTCCATGGCTGTTCCTCTGCCTGTCTTACGCCCCTTCCTCCTGACCTGCTGAGGACAGCCAGCAGCCCACACTGCCCCCGCTCTCCCCACACCCGGGCTCTGTCTTCTTGAGAGCACTTTTGGACAGAGCCCTCACTGCCTGGTTGCTCAGAGGGACAGGGGCTCCCGCTTCCTTCCCAGGCTGAGTGGTCAGAACCTTGGCTGGGTCCTGGTCTGTTGCTGTGGCTCCTCCCTCCCATTTCAGGGGGGGAATCTGAGCCTCCACCTTTCAGACCAGCCTCTGGAGGACAGTTCTGGGCGGGGCGGGCAGAGGGCTGGGGCCCGCAGCGCAGGGCCTGGCCCGGACCCACACTGGGCCTGGCGGCGTCCTCTGGTCCTCTGGTCCCCCAGCCCGTCTCTTCTGTGCCTTAGTCACATGTGAAAGCTCCCCCTCTCTAGGCCTTCAGTGTATCCCAGACACTCCCCGGGGCTCCCCATAAGCTGCTGGCACTCAGGACCCTGCAGTGCTGGGCCAGGCGCCCCTGGGCCTCGGGGGGGGGGGGGCCAGGGCCACCTGCCCCCTGCCCTTGCCCTCCTCCGCACCCACACACCTGGAGCCCCCGTGTGGGCTGGGCTTGCGTTCAGTGGACACTGCTTGTTTCTGCAGGCAGAGCACCCTGTCCCCAGGTGGCACTCTGGTTAGGGCTGCAGCAGCCTGGGGGAGGGGCGGCGAGAGGGGGCCTGCTCTGCAGCTCCAGCGTCTCCTTCCTTGTGGCCACTCCTGGAGCGAACTGTGCCAAGGGTCAGTCAGGTAGGGGTTCCATCCCAGTCGCCTTTCTGGGCTCCTGGCCCCTGTGACCGAGCCAGCCCCCTGAGGGGAACAGAGGCCTGCTCGTGGGGAACCGGAGGCCGGCTTTCGGGCCCCTGTCGGGCGAGCCCGGCCAGCCTGCCCCGAGTCGCGGGCTGGTGCAGACCACTGACAACGACTTCCGCTCCCTCCCCCGCTGTTTCCTTCCACAAACCTATTTCTCTGATTCTCCCTCCAGGCCAAAGTGTGCGGCCGGCTCCCTGTGCCCAGCCTCTGCCCGCCCCGGCCCGTCCCCCGGCTCGGCTCCGCGCAGGGAGCCAGCGGCCCCTTGGGGAGACGGGCCTGGGAGCACGCCTGACCACGCCACTCCTTCCTAGCATTTGTAACCTACCTTGTCTTTTTTTTTTTTTTTTAATTTTTTTCCTGATAGAGTAGCTCTTTGTACATAAAAAATACTTGAAAAATTAATTGTATGATGTATGAAAAGACAGAGTCCCCTAGTTTTGTATCTCGTGTATGACTGCCATGAGTTCCACCAGAAAGTCGCTCTATTTTGGTCTCTGTGACATTTTAAATGCGTGACAGAAGTGAGCAAATAAAGTGAGAAAGAAGAAATATATATATGAGATAATATAGATTGTATTGAAATCTCTGCCTGTGGGTGAGGTCTGTTCCTTCCTCTTCCCACCCCGGTGGGTGTGGGGTGGGTTTCGTGGCTGTGGGCGGTGGTGCCTTAGGAAACCCTGGTCCCTCCGCTGCATAGCATGTAGGTGATGGGAGGGTTCATGTCAGAGACTAAAATTGGGGTCCAGGTCCCCACTGGACAGTGCCCCCACCCCCTGTGGCCCGCAGGACATGGTGGCAGCCTTGGTCCTAAAGCGCCCGCCCTCCCCGCCCATTGGCAGTGCCCTTCCTGCAGGCGTCTCAGGGAGCCGAGGAGATTTCCTAGGGTCCTCACTCTTTCCAAGTTGTCTCCCTGCCTCCCTGAGCCCACCCCCACCATGGGAGCCTAGGTGCCTTCCCTGGGGGCAGCGCCTTGGCTGGTGCCTGCCTGGCAGGGGGCACTGCCCCTATCACCAGGGCAGGTATCTGGCCAAGCAGAGCACCTTCCTGCCGCCACCTCCGCATGCCCTCTCAGGCGGGAGGGGGGGGGGCGGGGCGGGGGGCGCTGGCTGCGCTGACTTAGGCACTCAGGAATGCAGCGGGGGCGGGGAAATTCCCAGCCTCAGCTCATCCCTCCTGCAGCTTCCGGCTGCCTTTTCCGCTGGCCTGAGCCCAGCATCTCAGGACCGGGTGGGGATTGCGGGCTCCAGCCTGTGGGGGGAGGAAGGCCTGTGGACCAAGCCGCCCCACGTGGTTTGGTCTTTTCCCCACTCTCATATCCTGCACCTTCTCCCAGCCCCGCCATCTTCACACTCATGCCCAGCCACGCAGAATCCTCACTGCAGTGGTGCGCGTTCTTGTAAAGCCTCATTCTGTGCAGCCCTCCAGTTCCCAGTGCTTGTCACACCTGTGCCCTGGGAGTACTTTCTGGTAGAGGGGTAAACTGAGGCTGCAAGGCTCTATTAAATAAGTTATCAAAAGTCACACAGCTAGAACGCATACCTGGATTCAAACCCTGATTTCCTGAGCCACGCGGTGTGCTCCGTCTGCCTGGGGCCTGCGGGCTGGGGCCGAGAGGGCCACCTCTCCCCCGGCCTCCCCGTGCCTTCTGGAACATGATGGAAGTATTTCCTACCTGGCTGTAGAAAACTAGACCTTGATGTGAAAGTGCTGGAAGAATTACTCTTCAATCTGGGAGTTTGCTTCCAGGGTAGGACTGTGTTTTCGCTGAAGGGATGCCCAGGAAATTTAACCACACGTGTCATTGTGTCCCCGGCTTTGTCTTCCCCAGCGAGGACCCTTGGCTCAGGCTCCCAGATGGAAGGACAGGTATTTTGGCATTACCTGTCCAGGCTTCCACCTCCAGCGCCCCCAAGCCCCTGCAGGAGCTAGTAATGGTGCATAGCTTTTTTGTGTTTTTAATTCTTACCCGAGGATGTTTATTGATTTTAGAAAGAGGAAGTGGGGGGGAGAAGAAAAACAGTGTAAGAGAGAAACCGATCAGTTGCCTCCTGTTTGCACCCCAACCGGGGACCAAACCCACAACCTAGCTATGTACCCTGACCAAGGACAAAACCCACAAGATTTTGGTGCACAGGACGACACTGCGACCAACTGAGCCACCTGGCCAGGGCAGCATAGTTATTTGCAAACTAGGGCTAAACCTTCCTGCGGTGGAAAGCAGGACTCCCATCTTGGGGACCTCATTTAGATGCCCCCAAAAAACCATATCTCAGGACACACTTCTTCACTATGGAAATAAAGAACTTGACTTTATTCAGAGTCTACAAAATACAGAAGGCGGGTAACTCGCTTACTGTAAGTCAGAAAATAAATAAATTCTGGGGGCCGGGCAATTTTTTTAAAAACATTTTTGGGTTGTTGCTGCTATCCGGCTTTCCCTAAATATAAGATAAAATGTGATTTATTTGCAGATATAAAATATAAAGTCCAGCTCAGCGCCCCATGCCACTTCTCCTGGGGGGGAGTGGTGGGCGCTAGTGCTCAGCTGGAGAGAATAACTTAGATTCGTGCAATAAATAAACAGTGGGGGGAGGGGGAGGGTTGGGCTGGGCTTCCCCAAACAATCAATGGCAGTGGGCAGCCCTCGCCCCGGGGTGGACAGTTGCAGGGAAGAGGTGGGACCCCCCCCGCCCCAGGCTGTAAGACTCCAGGACCTGTCTTCTCATTTCCCCTTCCTCTTTGGCTGGCCAGCCCCTTCCCTCTCTTCCACCTGCATCACCTTCTCTCTCCCTCTACTTCTCTTACCTTGGCTCACCGCCGTCTCCCCGGCCACGGAGGCCCTTCCACCTGTTTCCAGCCCCTGTCCACTGCCCCCCTGACAACCATAGCTGGGATCTCAAGACAGCAGTGGGAGAACCTGGCTTTAGGATCCAGTTCAACCACTAAGCACATGTGGCCCATCCACTGGAGACCTGTTTCCCCACCTGTTAACTGGGCTTCACTAGGTGATTTCCCCAGACCCAAGGCGGAGGGGGGAGCATCAGCTTCCCAGCTGGACAGTCCCACAAGACAAATACAGGGTCAAACCTAGTGATGCATCCCAGGAGGATGGGGAGGGGCCATTGGCACAATCTAAGCAAACAGTTTACAAAGTGAGGGGTGGCCCTCTTCTCCTCGATGGCTCTTCTCTAACTTAAACTGCTCTGTATCCCATCCTCCCGATCGGCTGAACTTTCAGCCAAGGGAGACCCTTGACCGCAGCCCCACCCTACCCTCTATCTCGCCAAAGTCGCCCCTTCCCAGGGCTACTAGGTCCCAGTTTCAAGGGCTGCATGAGGAAGACAGACTCTGGGGAGAGGACCTGTGATAACCACAGGGGCTGCAGAGAAATGGCACCTGGGGACAGGGTTGTGCTCAGGCACTTTGGGAAGGGAGCTGGGGTCGGAGGGGCGTGGCTTGGGAATGGGGCAAAGTCGGGGGCCTTGGGCACTAGGAGCAGGCGGCAGGGGCGGGGCCGGGGGCGGGGCCCGGGCTCGGGGCCGACTTGACGATGGTGATGACGCTAGCGGGCGCCACTAGCGCGGCGGGCCCGCGGGAGGCGGCGACTGAGCGCGCGAAGCCCTGCAGGGCCTCGCACTTGCCGCGCAGGGCGTCGAGCTCCAGGCGCATGGCGGCGTTCTCGCGCGCCAGCTTGTCCACCTCGCGCTCCAGCTCCGACTTCTGCTTCTGCAGCTCTTCCTTCTGGCACACGCGCTTCACGCGGCAGCTGGCAGCGTAGCCGCGGTTCTTGAGGGTGCGGCGCCGCTGCTTGAGCCTTGTCACCTCCTCGGCAGAGAGCCCACGCAGGTGCCGGTTCAGCTCGCGCACTGACAGCCCCATCAGCGCCTCGTCGGACAGGTGCGGCGTGTTCTCACTGAGCTCGCGCTTGATCTGTGGGGCAGCACGGTGGGTGCATGGGGAAACTGAGGCCCAGGGTTGCACCCTTGCCTGTAGGCCGTGAGCCCTGAGCCTAGCACGCATCAGGTGCTGGGCAGCAGCCATAGGCACGGCAGGGGGCGGTGGCTGGACTTGTTCCCAGGCCTCTAAGTGGGGCAGGAGTCCGCAAAGGGAAACTGGACCAAACCAGGGTCTGAACACACAAGGAGCCACGCCAGAGTTCAGCCCAAATTCTAACCCAGCAACCAGGCCCAGACTCGGCCAAAGAAACCTGGGAAAGCACCTCTCAAGTTCTGCAGGCCAGTGGGCATTGTCCTGATGGGGAAACAGGTCCAGAGAGGGAAGTGACCTGCCCGACGGGGAAGTGGGGGAACGACGCAGCCTATGGCCAGAACCCAGTCTCCTGGTTTCCAGCCGTGGCCTTCTGAACGTCTGATGCCTGCTGGACGGCCCTTGGGGATTCCAGGTACTGAAGGGGAAGTGGGGGAAGTGGGGTGGAGAGCTCAGCCTGTGGCGGGGTGGGTGGGACGGGTGACGGCAGGGGCCCCCGTCTCACCTTCAGGGCTTTGCTGGATAAGGGATCCACAGACATGTTTGCAGAAGGTGCCCTCTGGGCTGAGACCTAGGGGAGAGAGGAGACCAAGGTCACTTTATCTCCCATAGGAGCTCTTCATCATTTATATCTTTGCTTAATACCACCTCTTCAAAGAGGTCTGCCTGGCTAAAACATCCCCTTGCATCATATCGTTTAACCCCATTTACTAACCTTCCTAACAGTCACCTCTGCTGCAATTATTTTTATGTTGGATGACTTGTTTATGGTCTGTCTCTCTCCCTCCCATCCCTCTTCCTCCAAAATATAAGTCCACGAGGGTCAAGGCCTTGCCTGTCCTACTACTGCATCAATGTGCCAAAATCAGTGCCTGGCACATAGTAGGTTCTCAGTAAGCGTGCATCAAATGAGTGGGCCCTCTCCCCCAGCCAGCCTTCCACATGGAGGCCAGGCATGTGTATTTTGTTTTATTTAAAAAAATCTTTTCATTAAAACACAAACTACATAGGGAAAAGTGCACAAAACACATGTGTCCTAGTCAAAGACATTTCACAAGTTCCAGCCAGTGCCCCATCCAAATGCAGGAAATCCCGGCCCCGCCCTTCCCCCTGCACAGACCTCCCTGATCCAGACCCGTTCCTGGAAACGCTGCCCCCACCTGGGCAGCCCAGAGCGGATTTGCCGTTGCCCTGGCATGTGCTTGGCACCGGGGAAACACGGGGTGGGGTGCATCCTGCAGGCCGGTGGTCGCTGCTCTGGGCTGGGAAAGGGACTGTCTCCCAGAGTTCCCTTGGCTCATCTGATGATCCCCATGGGAACGAGATGGCGGTGAGGAGCAAAGGAGGAGAGGGCAGGAGGGCGGTCTGAGACCAGCACCCCATCCGTTCCCCCCAGGCAGGGGGTGAAACCCAGGCCCAGACCTTGGTGGCCTGAGCTGCCCGTGCGGCCGGCCTCTGACCCATCCTGGCAGGCCCAGGTGTCCCCCGAGGCGCAGCAGAGAGACAGGAAGTGCGCCGACGTGGGCGCCAGACACTCTGGGTCCCTTCAGAGGTTGTCCCACTCACCAGTGGTGGGGTTCTGGAACATCAGCGAAACTCTTTGCGCCTCAGTTTCTCCATGGGTGATATGTGGGTGTTAAGTCAGATCATACTCCTCTCTCAGGACCCCCCCCATGGCTCCCATCTCACGTGGGTTACAGCCAAAGTCACCACAGTGGCTCACGAGGCACTACATGATGTGGCCTCCGCAAACACCTGACTTCAGCTCCTGCTTCCTCTCTCTCCCTCCCGCCCTCCCTCCCTCTGCTCTAGCTACATCTGCCTCCTTAAACCTTCCACACACGCGGCTCCCTGGGCCTGGGCACTGGCTCTTCCACCTGCCCGGCGTCCTCTTCCCTTAAATAGCCAGAGTTGGCTTCCTCACTTCCTGCAGGTCTCTCTTCACATCTCTTGTTCTCACTCAATTTAGAATTCCCAACCCTTGATACACATGCCCACACATACACACACATGCTCACACACTCTCCCTGCCTCCCTTCCCTACCTCAAGTTTCTTTTTTTTTTAAAGATTTATTTATTTTTAGAACAAGCAGAAGGGAGGGAGAAAGAGAAGGAGAAAAACAGCAATGTGTGGTTGCCTCTCACAAGCCCCCTACTGGGAACCTGGCCCACAACCCAGGCATGTGCCCTGACTGGGAATCGAACTGGCGACCCTTTGGTTCTCAGGCCAGTGCTCAACCAGCTGAGCCACACCAGCCAGGGCTCATGTTTCTCTACAGCACTTCTCACTATGTGTACTGTAATTATTACTACCCACATATATTTTACCTATTTGTTCAGTGGCTGCCTCCCCACTAGCATGCCAGCTCTCGGCAGCAGAGACCTTGTCTTGTCCACGGCTGTATCCCCAGTGCTTAGAGGGGTGCCTGGCACGGAGCAGAAGCTCAAGTGACGGTTGCTGCGTTCTCAGCGTGACTCAGGCCGGGGTGGGGGCCGTCCAGGGTTTCTTAGAAATCCCCCAGCTCCGCTGGCCCACACAGCCAGGGGATCTACACCCCACAGGGAAGCAAGGCCTGGCACAGGAAAGGGAAGTTGGCACTTCAAGAGGTCCCCTGACAGAGGCAGCCACACTGGCCCTGGGCGGGGAGGGTGTTCAGCACCACCCATGCTCTCGTGGTAGAGCTGGGGGAGACTGAGGCCCAGAAAGCCCCAGGGCAGGACCCTGCCCTGTTGTCACAGACACCACCTGGAGACCCTCATACACCACCCCCAGCACACACCCCCCCCCCCCCCGGGAGGTCCTGGTACGTCCGCTCGTCCTCCACGCCGCACTCGGAGGATCTTTCCACCGTGTGGGCCTGACCATGCCATCACCCAGACGGAGACCTGCCGTGGCTCCGGACTGCCCTGGGGACAGGGTCCGGGCCCCCCACGGGGCCCCCAGGCTCCTTCGCCCCCGCTCTCCACCTCTGTTCTGCATTCCAACCACGTGGAATTTCTTTCACTTCCTTTCACCCCCACGCTTTCTTGCTCTGGGCCGCCCCACGCCCTGTAACATTTTCCCTGACTTTATCTGGCAGACTCCTACTCATCCTGCTCTGGGTGTAGACATCTCCTCCTCCAGGAAGCCCTCCCTGACCCCTGGGACGTGTTAGGCATTCCCCAGCGTTATGATGGCCTGTTCCGTTGTCTGTCCACCAGACAGGGGGCTCCACACGCAGGAACCAGGCTGAGGCAGGTCTGGGCGCTGAGGCCGTCAGCATGGGGCCTGCAGGGAGCAGGCACCAGTGAGGCGTGGATGGGTGCAGCCTCTGACACCGCCTGTCACCTAGCCTGTCAGTGTCTGAGCCGAGTGCCAAGCCCAAGCCCAGATGAATATCATCGAGAAAAAAACCTCCTGGCTGCATCTCCAACTCTTCCTCCTTTTCATCTGCCTCCTGGCTTCTTCATAGCAGGACAGGTACCCAGACACCAGGAGAAGGGCACAGGAGCAGATGGGGTTCTGTCCTCAGGATGCTTGGCCCCCAGGTGGGGCGTGGGAAATAAGGAAAGGAGCACTGGATTATGAGCCCTGGCTCTGTTTCCAGGCTGTGTGACCTTGGGCAAGCTACTCCACCTCTCTGGGTCTCCGCTTTCTCGTCTGTAAAAATAACACCTGCTCTCCGAGTTTTGGTGGAGCCAAGGGTAGACGTCACTGAGCATCTGCGGGGTCGTGAGAAAAGCCGAGTCTGCCCAGGAGGGACCAGGCCTGTAGGGATCATTGGGGCCTCGCTTCTACCCCGCATTGCCCGTCAGACGGGGTCACACAGGAAAGGCCCCACCGCCTCGCTTTACCCAAGGCGGGGAGAAGACCCAGGGAAGGACATCTCTAGCCCGAAGGCACACAGCAGCTGAGTGGCTGCCTCCCCCCAGATCAGGAGGGATTCGGAACACCTGGTCCTCCCGACAGCCCTGTGAGATAATGCCCAGTGAGGTCGAAAGAGCAGTCCAGGGTCACACAGCTAAGATGGGTGGCACCCCGGACTGAGGTCGCACCGAGCCACATGCCTCCTTCCAGTATGGCCTTCACAGGGCCTCTCTCTGTGTTTTCCCACCTCTAGGGGGAGGAGCCGGGACTGGCCAGTCTCGAGGGCCGCACCGCCCTGATGTGCCAGGAATCGCGTGGAGTCAGCTCAGGATCTGCAAACGCATACGGACTTGCAAGCTGTTGGGGGAGTCGGGTGTTGGGTGCCACCAGCAATCTGGGTCATACAAAGAGACCTGATGGGAGAGGGTGAGCCTCTCCCTATATAGGTTAACTGAGAGCCTGTGGGGTGCTGGGTCCTGAGCATTGGGCGCTATGGCAGATGCAGAACCTTGAGGGCCTGCCCTGTCGGACGAGACATTTCTCCTCTCCGGGCTTTGTTTTCCTTGCCCGTAAAGTGGGGATGATTATGGGAGCCTTTGTGTGTAAAATTCGAGTGGCTTAGACAAGGTCAGAAGTGGCAAATGGTTGGCTTCTCTCACCATCATCCCTCCCCCGAGGCGATAAAACGGCTGAAGGTCCTACCCACTGGCGGCTGCGGCTCTGAGCGCTCCTAGGCCCGAGGGAGGCTCTGAACCTGTCCTTTTCCCCTTCCCTCCTTCCCCTCCTGTCTAGCCTCAGCCCCCTCACCCGCATCCTGGGTGTCAGCTGAGGCCCTCATGTTTGCCCAGGAATGTCCCTAGCTCAGCAAAGTCAGGCAGTCACAGAAAGTCACAAGAAGGGGGAACTTTCTGATAACCTCAGGCATTCAGCCTCCAGTCCCAGGCCAGGGGCTGCTATAAGCCATGGGACTGGGCTCTCCACAGGGCTGCCTTGGCCAGCGTGGTGGGTAGGCCTTGGGCCTGAGACAGTGGCCGATCCAACCCCCCTGCTCTGTCACTGAGACAACTGAGCAGCTGTTTGGTGGCAGCGGTGGGCTGGAACCCAGGAGTCCTGACCCCCAGCTCAGGGCTCTTTCTTCAGTGCCAGCCACCACACTCCCCCTCATACAGACACATGCGCGCACGCACACACGCACGCGTACTGCTTCTTCCTTTTGAGGCCAGCTGAGCAACCTCCAGGGGCTGCAGGTTCCTAACATTCTTCTGGAGGCAGGGACAATAAACTTACTCTTGGGAGACTGACAGTTGCCCCACCCAATCAGCAGCCACAAGGCCTCCCACAGTCCTCTCCCTGCCCCCCACCCCAGTCCATTCCAGGGACATCCTGCAGACGGCCCACCCACTGGCATGGGCTCCTCTCTGGCCGCTGAACCATTCTGCTTCCTCCGTGAGGACAGAGGGAAAAAATGTGTTTTCCCGGGCCTTGGCAGCCAGCACTGGCAAGCCTCCTCCCTGCGGGAAAGGGGAGCAAAGCTGGGAGGACCCAGCACCACAGGGAAGCAGGAGCCTGGGGATCCCACTCCAGATCTGCCACCCACTCACACTCACTGTGTGGCTTCAGGTATGCTGTTCCCTCTCTGGGCCTCACTTTCCCCACATGCCAGACCTCCACCACACCTACGGTACCTCCTAGCCTGACAATCTTGGAGTCTATTTAGAGTGTCAGATTCTGGCTCCGAATGGAGCCCCAGGACCACTAGCAGAGTGGAGGTCCTACAGAAAGAAAGGAAATCAGTGAAGGCTTCCTGGAGGCAGAGGCATGAAAACAACAAACTCAGAGACTATGAGCTTTGACTGTCCCTCTGTTCAACCTGCACAACCAGAGACCACTTCCTCTTTCAGCTGAACCATGATCATAGCCGCCTCCTCGCTGGCTTCTAGTCTTGCCTGCCTCTGCCTCTGTCCCCACCATCTCTCCTCCCCTGCGGGCTGTCAGAGGATCATTAATGACACAAACCTACAAACCTGTGTTCAGCCCATTTCAAAACCCTGAGATGCAAGCCTCCCCTCTAGCCCGCAAAGTGGGGCCTTCATGCCTCAACCATGTTCTTTGTCCCCTATTTCTCAGGATCCTATTGGACTCAGTGCTCATTCATTCATTCAATCAATCAGCCAACACCAAGAAGCACCTACTCTGTGCCAGGCCCTGAAAGTGCTAAAGGACCAAGGATGAGTCGCAGCCCCTGCCCTTTAGGGCTGCACAGACAATCATCACGCCATCTGACAGCCTGGCTCACTGGCCACCTCCTCAGGGAAGCCTTCCATGATTGCCCCAGGTAAGTTGGAGCCCTGCTCCTGGCAGACCTTGGAGATACTGTGGGTGTGGTTTCAGACCATTGCAATAAAGCAAATATGGCAATTAAGCAAGTCGCAGCAATTTTCTGGTTTCCCAATGTATATAAAAGTTGTGTCTACACTATACAGTAGTCTATTACAATAGCATTATGTCTAAAAAAAAACAATGAACATATCTGAATTAAAAAAGACTTTGTTTCTAAAAACTGCTAACCATTATTTGAGCCTGTTGGAAAAACGGCACCGATAGACTCGCTCCATGTAGGGTTGCCACAGACCTTCCATTTGTAAAAAACACAGTATCTGCAAAGTGCAGTAAAGTGACACCCCCCAAAGCAAGGTATGCCTGTACCGCACACTTGCAAACCAGAGTGACTTCCCTCTCACACCACCCAGCTCCGCTCTGGTTTGGTGTTTAGTTCGGTGGTTCTTCCTCCAACTGTCTCCTCTCAACAACTGTAAGCTCCCGGAGGGCAGGCTGTGGGTCTGGTTCGGTCATGGTGCCCTTGCCAGCGTTGGTCCAGGACAGGCCCCGGGGCGATGCAGGCTAAAGGCGTCAGGACTGCGGGAGGCACAGGGCCCAGGGAGCCCACGTGGGGCCCAAGGCCCTCGTGGAGACCCAGGTGTGATCCAATGGGAGGTTCAGCCTTTCAGTGCCAGGTCTCCACCAGTGACTGAGCCAGCCAGCTGCGTCGCCTTGTCCCCAGACCCCTAGCCCTACGCAGGGAAGTCTGCTGCCCAGCTTTGAGGGTGGGCCTGATGGGTTCTTGTGCCCCTGATGGCCACCTCCCTTTACTTGAACCCCACACGTTCCTGGACATCCCTGGCCTTGGCCTGGGGCTGTTGGCTCTGGGTTCTCTCCCACGGTTCTAGAGAAAAGTCCGTGTGTAGAGGCTGCCAGCCTCTCCCAGTGTGCCCCTGTCCTGCCACCTGCACGTAGCCTAGTCCCTGCCACATGCGGGGATACTGAGGTCCCCACTGTGGCAGCAGAACTCACCAGGGTTTAAAGGTTCCAAGTTAAAAGAACATCTGGCTCTTCATTCCAGCAAGATCAGCTGACCACCCTCCATGATTCTGTAGCCCCATGGGTGGGAAGAAGGGGAGGACAGAGTAGAACCACGGAATCCCTAGCCCCCAGCACATCTCTCAGACTTTCTGCAGGGCTGACAAAGGGGATTAGGGCCCCACCTCTCACGCATTATCCCTCCGCGCACCAAGACCGCTGGTCCCACTACCTGCCGACCATGCCCCCCCCCCACCCCCCACCCCGGGATGAGGACTCTGGGAACTCCAGCCGGCTCAGTCCCTCAACTAGCTCCTCAGGTCCGGCCCTCAACAAGTATGTCAGACTAGTCCCGTTTGTAACTGAAACTACCAGGAGGACAGAAACCAGCTCCACCCCGTCCTCCGGTCTCACCCTCCCGGACAGAGCAGGTACAAGCTCCAGAACCCAGACCAGCCGGAGTCGCCACCAAACAGAGGAAGCCCAGGATTCCTCCATACCTTCCCGCTTTGCTCTGGGTGCTCTGGCCCATCCACACCCTCCTGAGGCTGAAGGGATGGGTGACCCTGGGGATGAAGGACAGTACAGAGGGTCCGCCTGAATCTCCCCCAGCTCTGCTGGGCAGGGTCTTTGATACTTTGTCCCACCGTGTGGCTGCTCGCTCCGGCTCAGGGCAGGGGATAAACATCGAGGTCACATGGCCCCAGTGCTGGGAAACTCCAGCAACAGCACCCTGCGCCAGGGCTGCTAAAGGAAAGGGGACAGCCCGAGAATTCCCACAGCCCGTGTGGCCACGAACGGGGCCGCTTCCCTAGGTCAGGCCCCTATTTCGCGTTTAGTCGTTGAGTAGAGTCTTTCCAAGGTACGCACCGCTGGCACACAGGTTCTTACCCGCCTGGGAGTGCGCGGACTGCCTCTCTCTCCGTCTCCTTCTCTCCGTCCCTCCCTTCCTCCCTCCTTCCATAGTACACCTCGCGCGCACGCATCGGGCAGGATCCTCAGGACGCAGGCCAGGGAACACACACGCGCGCGCGCGCGCGCGCGCACACACACACACACACACGCACGCCCTGCGTAAACAAACCGAGCACGCCCGGCTGGCGGGCACCGGTCCAGGGACTGTTCTCACCGAGTCACGTACTTGCACACACCGCCCCCTGCCTCGCCTGGGCAGACGCTGACGCTCGCCAGCCCGCGATGCCCCTTCCTGCCGGGCTTCGCTGCCTCCAGGCCGGCGCCCCCAGAAGAGGCCCGTCACCTCCGCACCCCGCCAAGCTTGCTTCTGCCCCTACTCGTCCCGGATTTGTGCTCCTCCCCGCGCCAGCCGTCGCAGTGATGGGCACACTGGAGCACCAAGTGAGCCGGCCCCGGTGCCCCGCCCCAGGCACGTACCCCGGCACGGAGACCCTGCCGCCTGTGGGGCCCCCCGCCCGCCGGTTCCTGTCCCGGACCCGCGCTCCTCACCCGTCTCCAGTCCCGCTTCTCCTGGCGCCCCTGGAACGCGCGGGTCCCGCTGCCGTTTGGGCTGCTGTCCAGCCCGCGCCCTGGTCCGCCTCCCCTCCGGTTCCGACTGCGGGTGGCTCCGAGCCTGGCTCCCGAAAGCGAGAGCGAGGAGCTGAGTTTTGTTGTGGGGCGGGCGGTGCAGGGGGCCGCTGCGAAGTTGTAAGGCGAGCTTCCCGGAATTACTCACTCACAGGATTCCTTTCATTCATAAAAACCCAGTCATGCGGTGACGTCACCTCCCTGGCCACCCCACCTCGGCCCTGAGCGGCCCCAGGGCTCCTCAGCCCCGCCCTGTCCCGCCCACTCAGACTCCGCCCACAAGCCAGGCCCCGCCCCGGGGCTCTCAGTCCCTAGTAGGCTGGCTGAGTTCACGTGACACCTCGCGAGAACCACGTGGGTGAAGTTGTCATTTGGCTCACTTTGCAGTGTACAGTCCCAGGCCTCTTCTTTCGACCTACACCTTCTGCCGCGATGATCTCATCCAGTCCCGTGGTTTTAAATGCCATCTATATGCCCGTGAGCTGCAAATGTGTATTTCTAGAGCGAAGCGGCTTCTCTGAGTTTGACTCATCATTCAAATGCCCACTGCCCCTTCCACGTGGGTTCCAGATGGGGACTGCAAACACTCCCTACACAGACAACATCCACCCACCTGATGTCAACGCTCCCCCAGCAACCCGCACTCTCAGCCTCCCCAGCTCAGTTGTTCAAGCCCAATCCAGGAGCCTTGCTCCAGCCCTTTTTCTCCCTTCCTCCCTACACCCTGCATCCCCCTATCTCCGCCTCCGACACCTTTCTGCATCTGGCATCGCTCGCTACCCCCAGGCCGGCCACACCCGGCCCACACACCCTCGGCTTACCTGGACAATGGGAGCAGCCCCCCCATAGCCTCCCCTCTTCCTTCCTAAAGGTTTCTCCTTCACGCACCAGACGATGTTTTCCTCGTAGCACAGATCAGATTGTTCCATACACTCCCATCCTCCCTCTAGCCTCCCTGCACATTTAGAATATAAACTATACTCCTCCCCTTGGCCTCCAGGGCTCTAAGCTACCTGGCCTCTTGCCAGCTCTCCAGCCTCACCCCCTGCCCTCTGCCCTCAGCCCCTGCTCCTGAGCCACCCTGCCCTTCTCGCTGCCCCCCAGACACACCAGCCTCATTCCTGTACAGGCTCTTTGCACTTGCTTGTCTGTTCACTGCCTGGTTCTTTCTCATCTTTCCGGTCAGCTCAGATCTCACTGCCTCAGAGAGGCTTTTCCTGACCTCCCTGGCTAAAGGCACTCCCACTTGTAAAGAGTGGTTTTTCTATCACCTTAGTAACTCCGTAGGGTGTTACTTTGTTTACATGTTTGCTGACTAGTGTCTTTCTTCCCCAGTCAGATATCTGTTTGGTGAGAGTAGAGCCTTGTCTCTTGTTCACCGCTGCATGGCCTGTGCCCAGAACAGTGCTTAACATGGTGTAAGCCCTCAGCTGAGAAAATAATGTTGAGGAAATAAACGAGTGGAGGCTCAGAGGGGTACAGTGACTTGCCAAAGGCACACAGCTAGAAAAAATACAAGAACTGAAATTTGAATCCTGGTCTGACTGGTTCCTGGTCCAGATATCTGGGGTTATGCCCAACAATGTAGAGCCCAGAATAAATTGAGGGATGTGTTCAGTGTTTCAAGCCCTACCCAGAAGAGGCAGCTTTGGGGGCCAAACAGGGGAGTATTGCCATTTACTCTTTCTTTCCTTTGCTGCTCCCACTGCCTGAATGCCAAGAGCCATCTCTTCTGTGCAACTGACATCGGAGCACTTGCCTTATTCGACTGCCTAAAGCACAGGACCTCCCCAGACGAGAGGTCTTTGTGTGGAGCCCTGGTCACCGGCAAGTCTTCCCCTTCCGGTGACATAATGCAACTTGATTTCAGAGCCCTTGTTATGCTGTCCTGCCTCTGAGCCTTGGTCCGTCCACCTGGGATTGTGACCTTTATCCCTTACCTCCCGAAGACCTTGGGTTTCATCGGCAAACTGGCCCACTAGGTTCCCAGGTGATCAAATGACGTGGCAGCTTTATCTGGCACTCAGTAGTCCCTCCTCACCACCTCCCCTCAAATTGCCCTCTCACCCTACGTTTACATATCTATGAGAACCAATCATGTTACCTCTTGGGGTACAAAAGCTCTCGGTTTTAAAAACTGTGTACTTGTGATTGTTGGTCTCCTCTACCCCCCACACTCTATAAGCTTCTCTAGGGCAAAGGCCATCGTAGTGCTCAACTAGTGAACTAATAATCCCCCGTGGACCATGCAACACCCCTGGACACCGTGCAGCCTAACCCTGTTGCTCCCGCCCCAGCCTGCCCGAAGTAGGTCGTCAGCGCTTGAGTATCTACCACCCAGCAGGGCCTGATTCCCCGCAGGCAAGGCTCCCCCTTTGGTCAAGGTCAAGGGACATGGGTGCAATGTCATATTTGAAAGTGGGAGCTTTCTGGCTTGAAGAGGTTTTTTACTGGCCAAGCCTGGGGCAGTTTGAGCTTTGAAAGAAATTACAGCAATGATGGATTATAAACTGTTGAGTGTGTGAAGACACCGGGAGTCCATACTAATGAATGAATCAGGAGAAGGGAAAGCTTCTCTTGCCAGCAGAAGGAATGATGGAGCTAGAAAATGACCATTAAGCAAACACTGTACTAATAATGGATTCCAGTGGGAATCATCAATGGATAGGAGAATTCTGATGAGAAACAAGATATTTACATAGTATCAAAGTATTGCCCCACAGGCAATTATTAATTACAAATGGAAAGCTAGTAACGCTGTGGTGGAGAAACCTGGCAGATACCGCCTTTAACTAACTGACCGAAGGCAACCTCACTAGTAACGGGACTAATTGACAGGTCTTTCTCCTAAACAACGTCCTGGGAAGAACACAACATCACTTCTGCTGGTGTTCCTGTGAAAAACTCATACAATGAATCTAACTGTGAGGGAACATGTGACAAATTTAAACAGAGAAGTTCAACAAAATCACTGGACTGAATGCTTTAAAAAACGGCAACATCATGAGAAAGAAAGACGGGAAACTGTCCCAGATTAAAGGAGCTAAGGAGACGTGGCCGCTCACTGTTGTGTGTGATCCAGGATGTCCTTTTGTCATAAGGACATTATTAAGATAATTGGTAAAATCCAAATAAGGTCTGCAGATTAGATAATAGCATCATATCAGTGTTAATTTCCTGGCTTTGATCCGTGTCCTGTGGTCAAGTAAGACAATGTCCTCTGTTTAGACAACACACACCAGAGTGTTTCTAAACAAGGGAGTATCAGGTCTTCACTCTCGAATGGTTCAGAACCAAGATACATAGGTAGATAGACAATGATAAAAAAAAAAAATGTAGTAAAATATTAACAATTGGGGAATCTGGGAGAAAAGCATACAGGAATTCTCTATTATTCCTGCAATTTTTGTTTCAGTAAAAGTTGCTTTTTCCTTCTCCAAAGTAGGGACTTCGGTAGGCGCTCTTCGGTTAGCCTGTGGGCTCAGATCCTGGCCTTGCCCCTTACCAGCTGCGTGTTTTAATCTTTCCCTGACTCGGTCTCCTCCTTTGTAAGCCGGGCTTGCTAGCAGTGCCTACTTCATGGGTTGTGAAACAATTTAATAGGTTCACACATAAGCATTTGGCACAATACCTAGTATGAACCAAATAATCAATAAATACTAGGTTAGAGAGAGATGAGTTCTCTGGAGGCTGCTAGGACATTTCCTCCGTGAAATCTGCTTCTGCCCTGGTGGGGGACGCCAAGCCGGTGAGACTTCATCCTGCAGAGAGTTTCTGGGGAGGGGCGGCCCTCTGCCCACACAGTCCAGCAGGACCCGGCTGGCCCAGCTGGCCTCCCCCCTGTTCGCCTGCCTGGGAGTCCAAAACACCAGACAGCACCCCAGCACCTCCTTTGGGACCCTGGCCCACAGTAGGTGCTTCGCCCACTAGTAACGCGGTAACAGTGACTCAAGCCCGGATCTGTGGCTCAGATCCCACCCCTGGCTACCTCCAGTGAGGGGCTTTCCTCGCTCCAACCTCAGGTTCCTCAGCTGTCATGAGCACATATTATTTAGGTCAGTGGTTTTTAAGCAAGCTCAAGCCACAGTAAAATTTCTTCACATGAAATTGACTCTGCAGTGCATCCCACATTGTGAGACAGCCGGAAGCTGGGCTCTGGCGGAGGAGACCACAGCTGGATTTCAGACTTCCCCATTGAGCGTTCTCTGGAGGCCCTTACTGCTCCAAGACTGGGTTTCTGGGCCCCTGCCTGTGAGTGGCTGTCCCCAGACCCTTGGGTCTTCCCTGCCCCCCCTCAGCAGGACAGTCCTCCATAAGCTGGAACAGATCCTACCTCTCCCTTGGTCCCCTCTGCTGGGTGGCAGCGATGTCAGAGGAATCTCTTGGAGGAAGAGAGGGAGGGAAACACCGATGTGAGAGAGAAATATCAGTTGGCTGCCTCTCACACGCCCCCAGCTAGGGACCTGGCCTGCAGCTCAGGCACAGGCCCTGACTGGGAATCGAACCAGCGACTTTTCGGTTCACAGGCCGGCGCTCAATCCACTGAGCCACACCAGCCAGGGAGGGTCAGTAATTTCTGATGGTAAAAGCATTCCTCACTCCAGAGAA